TATATAAACAGTGACAGGAAGCCGGCAACATTTATCAAACACGACAAAAAATCTTAATAAATTTGGGGAAATCTGATGCCTTCCTCACGGTACGGTGGACTGAGAACAGCATTAATCCTGGCCTGATCGCAATAACATCACCTACTCACTTAACATTTTTTATACATTTATTTTTTATGTTTTATTTAAGGAAAAAGATTCAATAAACTTTCAGGAAAAAAGTATTCTAATTGTTTGTAGATGCACTAAAGACAAAAAGTGACGATTTGTTGCGTACGTTTATATTCTGTTCAGTCTGCTACTGTAGTAACTGTTTCACAACAACAGATGGCTTTCTCTGGAAAACCCCAGGGTGCATCAGCATGTGTAGGCGTAATTGATTACTTTATCTTTTATTATTATTATTTTAGGTTTTTGTCTGGTAAGGGCGTCTTTAGTAACATATTGAAGGTACTTGTTTCACACTTTCTAAAACCGATGAATCGTAGTTTTTGGTGCTTTAATTTGGACARTTTCAGACAGTTACTGTAAATGTTAAATTTTGTGCTTCCGTTTGCTTTCAGTTTATCAGCTGAAGCAAATGGGAGTGTTTGGGAGGATTAGAGAGAGAGAAAAAAGGTGAAGTCGAAAAGCTGTGAGATAAAAATGGGAGTAAAGTGGGCGCAGCAGCAGAGGCTCATGGGAGAGGAGATTAAAAACGAGGATAGACGAGAGCAACGCCTCCCCCAGCAGAGCTGCGAAATCCCTGGAGGGCTTTGGGAAAGTCAAAGTGTCTCACCTGGTGCTTTAACTTATCGATCCTATAAGAGCAAAGAATGATGGTGACAAATGGTTTGTAATTTTAAATATTTAAAAAAACACTTAAAAATGATAATTATGGCCATTTAAATTTGAGCAGGGTTGCTGACCTACATGTAAAAAAATCATTGTAAGTGTTAAATTAAGTTTTTTTTCTTGTTACAGGGTTTTCACAGTGAAGTGCTCATGTATTTATAAAAAAAAGGGTTGTTCAATCAATTATTTAATGGAAACAAAACAAGACAGCTGCAGCTTTGATAATTGATAGTCGCCGTGGGAATTTGTAGGTTTCATCATTTTCACTGTAAAAAGTTTTAATGTTAAAAAGAAGCTGTTTAAGATGGCATTAGTATTTATTTCTTGAAACATTTACTGTTTTTTTATGTTTTAGTTACAGAAAGTAAGTCAGACCTACTCAATGGCTTCTTTATCTAAAATTTAGTTTCATGTTTTTCTAATTTTGTACCTTCATTGAAATTTTTGAAATAGTATTTCTATTCATTTGTTACAAATCTACAGATTAGTGATAATTTTGCTCAAGGAGAACGTATAAATTCTAAACTTTCACAAGGTGATTTTAAAAAAGAAATAGCTTTATCACAGAAAGAGAACAAAGGTGGGGCTTTATGCTCTAATAGCCATTTTAAGTTGACACAAAATGGCTCCTCTGCTTATTGCTGTCTCATAAACTGTCTGCTAAAAGCACCGTTTGCATCTAATTCTGTATATTAAATAGAAACTAAACTTTAGCGACATAGAAAGGGAAAAACCAATTGAGTTTTTTTTTTTATCTCCAGATGAGTTGATGATCGTCTCACAGGAACTCTGTTTTATTTTGTCTAAAATAATCTGAACATCTGGTTTTCATCTGCTCGTCTCATCTTCTGTTCGCTTCCGTCTCGTTCACAGGGCTTCTTGAAGAACGAGAGGGACAACGCCCTCCTGTCAGCCATCGAAGAGTCTCGCCGCCGGGTCAGTATCTGCCAAGTCTGATTACTTCTCTTTTCACAAAATACAAAAAACAAAGACCGTGTTCTCTGATTCCTGATCTCCAGGACAAAAACAAGATCAGAATGGAGTAATTAGTCTTAACAGTCGAGGGATTCTCTGCATCCTCGTTTTACTTTTCCTAAAGTCACGAGTTTTCGACTCCGTAGTGCTTATAAAGATTAGCACTTCAACACCTAACAAGCTAAATTTTAGGAATCTGTGCTGGCTGTGATCTGGAAGTCCTTCTGGTGTGAACCTTTGGGGGAATGATTTTGAAACAGCCTCCCTGATGTGCAGAGCTAATAGGCCCCGAGTTTAATTAGCTGCCAATCCCATTATCTTTCTGCTCCCCGAGAGAGGAAGCAGGACGTGCGCGCAAGGGTGGAAACAAAACGCACTCAGGAGTTAAGGAGAGAATGCTGATGCTGGATGATTTTGCAGATTTTCTTTTCTTTTTTTTTGTATATCCACCTACGATTTTATAAATATAATTTCAGTTTAAGCASATTTTATGAGACTTCCTCTGTTTTTTTCAATTTTAAATGTAATATAACCTATGGTCATCTTCATGTAAAAAATGCCTTTTTCTGATTTTCTCTTATTTATCTCTGGAATTTTTGTCGGAAACTCTGATTTGTTTAAAATGTGGATTTCCAGGCATCGGGTTAATGCAGTAAAATAATGTCTGCAGTCTAGATCTACGTCTCCCCGAGCTGGAGATTCAATTATCTCGTGCTCCAATTATCTCACTTTTGAGTCTCTGTGGACAGTTAAAATAGACTAAACCAGGTCTTGATAGTTCTGGTGCTAAATCTGATTTGTGTCTCTAAAATATCCATGCACTTCTGCTTCAACGTAGACGTTATATAGATGATTAGAGTTGGTGTAAATTATTCAAATGAAGTAAAAAGCCTGCAAACAGGAGATAAATGATGGATGAGCCTGAGATCCACGATCCGTGGAGGTCAGAGGTTGAACCGTCGACCCAGCTGAGTTTCAGCACCTCACAGTGAGGGTCTGACCCTTTCCGCTGTAATAGATGTGTGTAAAAGGTTGCCCTGTCCCCCCTGCTTTCACATGCTCAGACGTTCCTGCTGGCTGAGGAGTACCACCGTGAGTCCATGCTGGTTCAGTGGGAGCAGGTGAAGCAGAGAGTTCTTCACACTCTAATCGGAGCCGGAGAAGATGCTCTGGACTTCAGCCAAGATGTGGTATGCTTGTTTGTCTTTGTGTCTATGGTGTAATAATAATGATGTGATTGTGATGCTGTAATTCTGAGTGTTTTATGTGATGCAGAACAGGAACCTGCTGTAAAACAGCAATTATGCTGAGTCAGGCTTGATTTTTAATAATCTTTTCCTGTTAAATAAATAAATCAAATCAATGAGAGATTTATCACAACGGGACAAAAAAAATTACAAAACCATATATTACACTGCTTGGATGTCTCTAAAAGTTTAATCATGATCTCATTTTAACGACTAAACTGTTTACAAATGATTAATTCACTCACTGAAGAAAAGCATCTATTTTGTGTTATATTTTAACTTTTCTTGGACTAATTATGTCATCTTAAAATCTAATTTCAATCCTCTTAGCTGACTTCTTGACAGCGCGTACTCTTAGACCAAAAATAGCGGTCTGATCTAAGAATCAYTGATGCTATTTTTAACATCATTTTATGTAAAATAGGTCTTTGTTTGTGTGTCATCCTGAGCATATCCCAGCATTCATTGGGTAAAGCGCATATAAACCCTCTGGACTGTTTGACCGRCTATCTGGACTGGAAGGATTCTTAAATGACAAAAATCTAGAGCATGAATAGAGGACTTGTCAGACTGATTTATTGGCCTCAGATGATTGACGTGTCTGCTGTTTGTGRTGCTTTAAAGGTTGTTTTTTTTCTTTTTCTGTGGGCTCTTGGTGTGTTACAGCCAAGCTTTGTGAGTGAAGTGACAGCTCCAGGAAGGAGCGCTTTGGACAGTGTGGAGGTGGCTTATGGTCGACAGGTGAGTCAGCATCAGGCTGATTGTTTTCATGCACATAAAAATTTCAAATCAGGGCATAAAACTAGCTTTCTCTAGGTTAGGTTTCTCTTGCAAAACAATTTTACTCTTTATCTTAGAGTTGTTGTGTTTTATGAATATTTTTCTACTTAGCGCTAACAATTAATTTAGCTTTGCAAATGCTAAACCACTAAAAAGTTGAGAATCAGAAGAAGCTAATGCTAACTGAAAATCACTAACTCAAGACCTGTCGTTTAAGCATAGAAGTGYGTGGTATCCACAGAAACATCTGAATATTAGTTAAAAACTAACTGAAATACTAATTTAGGTGCACATGTAAAATGATAAATATGCTACACACAAAATGCACGACACAAGCTTGTTGCGATGTGTGTGTGTGAGGGAATAGATGCTTTTGTTTTTGTTAGCAGGCTTAAARTTAGCAGAACCAAATTTAGTGGATGCTAATTGGTCTGCTAATGTTTTTTCCAAAGGCAAAAGAAAAGTTAGCTTCACTATTAGCTGTTAGCATAAAATGCTAAAATGTGACTCCACACACAAAGGCGTATGACAAACACGTGCGGCGCTACATGTGTGAGGGGTTAGATGTTTTTGTTTTCATTTGAAGAACAAGATTTATCAGGAGCTAATTGGTCTCCTAATGGCTTCCAAAAAAAACCAAAACGCTAACCCTTTAAACAAAAAGTTAGCGGTTCTGTTAGCCGTTAGTGGATTAGCGTGAAATGTTAAAGATGCTACATGCRCTCACAAGGCGCTTGACGCAGATGTGCAGCGCTGCATTAGCTGAACCAAATGAAGTGGACACTAACTGGTCCGCTAAGAGTTTTCAAAGGTAGCCAAAACACTAATACGCTAAACAAATCGTTAGCTGCACTGTTAGCTGTTAGTGGATTAGCTTGAAATGCTAAAGATACTACATGATCACACAAGGTGCATAACACATGAGGCAGCGGACGTAAAGTTAGCAGAAACAAATGTAGCGAAAGCCAGTTAGTCTGTGTTTCTGAAGTTAGCAAAAAGACTGAAATGTTAGCTTCACTATTAGTGGATTATCAAAACTGTGCTGCTTATTAGCACATAATGTTTACATTTTAGCTAATAATAAATATTGAAATCCAACAGTAAAACTAGTAGCTTATTTAACTGATACAGTAGCTTTTATTGATTGGAGTAAATTTCTCGTTAACTTCCAAAATACCWTTGTGGAATCATGATTATTCTAAACAAAGTGCGTCAGTCAAGTCGACTTTGTTTAAATTGGTTTAACTTGAAAGCAAGTTGACTATTTGATGCCGCTGGCCCGGTCATTTGGTTGAAACCAGGCCAGGAAGCAGCAGATCAAAGATATTGATCCGTTTTGGCCTCATCATCCTGTCTGACCTTCTGTTTTTTGCCTCTGTGAACATTTCGGATCTGCCGAGTGACGCAGAGCTTTAACTGCAGACAATGTGTCGCCACATCGCGTGCGGTGTCATCTGTCTCATCTTTGTTATCCTCTTCGACGACCTCTTTAACGTTTTGATTCTGTTTYTGCTGTTTTTTATTGCCAAACATTTCACTCGGTGGTCGTAGCCTTTGAAGGACAAAATCCTCCTAAAATAAATCTTAAAAACGAAACATTAATTTTTTTTCTTCAGATTTATATTTTCAACGAGAAGATCGTTAATGGACACATTCGGCCTAATCTGGGGGATTTATTAGCTTCAGTTGCTGAAAGCTTTGATGACAAGGTAAGAACACAAATTATACTTCAATAAAAACCATGCTATTACAGTAAATGCCTGGAAAAAAAAGACACATTTGCACAAATAAACCTGCACAGTGTTTATAGTTTTTGAAATATTCAGATGAACAAAAATTAAAAACTTTTCCGCACATGAAAATTACCTCACGAGTTGCCTGCTCTCCGTCCTCCAGAACGTGTCKGAGTTGTGGCTGATGGTGAAACAGATGACGGACGTGTTGCTGGTTCCGGCCAAAGACACCCTGAAGAGTCGCACTTCTGTTGAAATGCAGATGGCCTTCGTGCGTCAGGCGCTCACCTTCCTGGAGAGCAGGTAACCGACCTCATTTTGATTCATTTCAATTTATTTTTTATGTTTTATGTTAGATGCAGGTGATGAGTATTCATCAGTCTAAAATGCAGCTCTGTTCTTGCAGATATAAAAATCACACAATGGGAACGGTCTTTGGGAACCTTCATCAGGCCCAGCTCGGAGGTGTGCCTGGAACGTACCAACTGGTCCACAGCTTCCTCAACATCAAGCTGCCGGGCCCTCTACCTGGCATGCAGGTAGGTGACACGCATTCACAGTTTAAATCACAGGACTTCAATTAAAATTCACTAAAGAAATATATATATTATTTAAAATAATTTGTGACAGCCATACTAGTTTTCTTCACACACCATACTTTAAACCAGTGAGAAACCAGGAGCCAGGCATGAGAATTACTGTAAATATTTAAAAAACCAATGCCACCTAAAATTAATTTATGGACGTTTTTAAAAAGCTGCACAGTTTAAAACAAATAATTGTAGATTTTAGAAAAAATGGGCCTTCTAAAATGTGCTCTCATAAACACAGGAAAGCGTGTTCAAGTATACAATTGATCTGGATCCAGACTCTGGTCCTTCATTTGGGAACCCTTAATTTAAATATTTGGCTTTGCATTCAACCAATTTTTGGGCCTATCTTGGCCAGGTCTTCCTTAAAAAAGACGTTCTTGGTTAAATAAAGAAAATATAATAAAGAAAAATATAAATAAATAACCAGCAAAAAGTCTGTTTAAATACAAGCTTGCTTTTTTAAGTTCCCTGATCCACACCGATAAAATAAATTAATATTTACAGCCCGGACCTGAGACCTAATTAGTTCATCAGAACGATTAGATCACGATTAAATCAGTATTTGAAATTTAGACTTCGCCTTATTAATTGCTTGGATCAAGAAACTAAACCATCTCTGGAGGCTTTTTTAAATGATTAAAGTTTGTGTGTGTGTGTTTTTTTTAACATATTCTCATTACATGTATTAAAATGAACTAAACCGAGTGAATAATGAGTAGCAGTTTGGACATTTTGTTACAGATATTGTAGCACAGAATATATATTTTTAATGTTTTCTACTAAACGTGTACAGGATGGTGAGATAAAAGGCCACCCGGTGTGGGCTGTAATCTACTACTGCCTGCGTTGTGGAGACCTGAACGCAGCCATGCAGGTGGTGAACCGGGTGCACCACCAGCTGGGAGACTTTAAGACCTGGTTTCAGGAGTACATGAACAGCCCTGAAAAACGGTGAGGACCACTCAGGTTCTTCTTTTTTTTTTTTTTTTTTGTTGTTTTTTTGTTCGTTTGTCTGTTTTTAACCACGAGGGTTAAAAACGTCTCTTCTCGTTCCCGTAGGCTTTCCCCGACTTCGGAGAACAAACTTCGCCTTCACTACCGCCGAGCGCTGAGGAACTGCGCCGATCCCTACAAAAGAGCCGTTTACTGTCTGATCGGGAAGTGCGACGTCAACGATAATCACGGAGAGGTGGCGGATAAAACCGAAGACTACCTCTGGCTTAAGGTACAGATTTTTATTTGAGTCCTTATTTTCCTCCCAACAGTAGCCCTGTCGGCAGCCCTTCTTTTTTATTTATTTATTTAATTGTTGTCTTCTGCAGTTGAACCAGGTGTGTTTTGATGACGACAGCAGCAGCTCTCCTCAGGACAGACTCACTCTGCCTCAGCTACAGAAGCAGCTGCTGGAAGACTACGGTACGTTATTTCTTTATTACCACAGGTATAATAAAACCTCAAACACCACTCTGTGCAATTCTTTCTATTTTCTATTGATCTGTAGGATCCACTATATTTTTCACAAATTATTTAAGATGATATATTTGCATATTTTTCTCTTGTTTTTTTTATCTTAGCACAAAATATTATCTAATACAAATTAAATGAAGGGAAATGTTTAACTTAAACTGACAATGGCAGATAATAATTGATGATGAGTTCTTTGTATATTTGAGTTGTTTTAAACAAATGTTGAGAGGAAAAAAAGAACTTTTTTTTAAAAAAACTCTTAATTCTTTTTTTTGTGATGAGATATTGATTATAAAGTGTCTGAACATAAATACTGAATGAATAATTTAACACCAAGACAAAAATCTGAATTTTATCTTAACAGGAGGCATTTTGACACAGCTAACTGTCTATGCTAACTATGCTACAACTTGGCCACATAAGAAATGGAAGATAAAACCTGGAAATGTTTTCCAAATCATGTCTCGAATAATATATATTTTTTCCATTCTGTAAGACCTTCTGGAAACCAAACGTTGCACGTGGACAAGACTTTGAACCGTCAGTTAGCATCTTTTGCCTTACCATTGCTAATCACAGCTAATACGTTACAAATATTGAATACAACATTTATAAGGCCGTCCAACCTTAAAATGTGATATTGGCAATAAATCATATACTGATAAAAATCCTGTTAATTTCCCTTTTTTTAATGGTGCCACATTTGTAAGGAACATGCATTCATGGGATGAACAGTAGAGCTGATCTTCAAATCTTTTTGTGTTGTAGTTTTGCATAAAAGGCAGGAACCCTGTAAACTGCTGCAACAGTTGCTCATCTTTTACCATCCGGGTGTCGTTTCTTTCTTGGAGATGCTGCAGAATCCTGTAGAGGTCCAAATTGGATTTATTCCTCACAATATTTGTAATTTCCTGCCGTTTTAAAGTCGTGGAAACTGAGAATGGATGAGGAGAATTGGCCCCTGTAAGGACTCTGCAGGCTCGAAACAAACTAGGTCAAACTCTCCGACTGTCCCTGGCTGCATCACGCTGCGCCCCTGATCTCTCCAAGAATTGCAGTGACCTTGATTTTCCGAAAGCAAGAAATGTTAAGCTGAAAATAAATAAAGGCACGGACCTGGTATCTCCTCAACAATGTTAATGTTGGAGATGAAGATGCTCGTCACAAAAACCACTAAAGAATCTGATTTATTGTATTTTTTTATTTCTGAATTATAAAAACCAGTAAAAGTGAAACCCAAACATTGCTCAGTCAGACAGAGAAGAATTTGTAAAGCAGGAGCATGTGACCTTCCCCTCCTGGAGACCGAAATAATTCAGAGTTTTCTCCCGAGTGTTGCTCTTTCTGTGGGCCACCGCTGCCTGGTTTAGATAAGACCTTCCTGACGCGGCCTCTCCCGCTCTCRCTGCTCTGTGGGAAGTGGAGCCCAGAGCCTCACTGCGTGCTGCTCGCCTCCCTCCGTTGTTTGCTGCAGTGTTCCTTGTTGTCCTCCATTTTGCTTCGCAGCAGGACACAAAGCCCAGAAAACCTATCTTAATTTCTTTACACACTCTGCCGGCGCTCAGCAGCCTCATCTGCTCTGTGTCTCTGCCACTCGTTTGTCCTCTCCTTTTATCTCTCATCCCTCTTTCTCATCATACTTCTTTCCTCCCACTGATTTTTGTCCTCCTTAAAGCTCTCCTCTTGCATATATATTTGTTCTTTGTCATTTCTTGTTTGCATACTCAGCTGCAGCCCCCCTCCCACACACACACTTTTCTATTGCCTCCTTCATCCTTTTTCTTCTCCTCATCACTCCCTCTCTCCCTCTCTCCATCCTGCCTCCATGTGCTCTCGTGCTTTTTGAACTAAAATGCTGCAAGTCTGAGATAAGGCTGTAAAATGGCTGACATGGTCCACCCTGTCAAACTTCTAACCAACAAGAGGATTAAGAATTATAATTAAAAAGTAAACTTGATGACTAAGTACCTGTGCCCGACAAAATATATATATATTTTAATTTCTTCTGGAAAACGTTGATAAGATGTGTACAGAGTTTGGGTGAACTGGGTCAAAAGCTTCAACAGAATCATCTTTTTTTAATATCTGCCTCTTTAGATCAACATTTATTTATCTTTTTGACCCAAGCAGTTGATTTTTAATAGTTTTTATTGCAGTTTTTCCTATATTGTGCGCTTTATTGATAATTAAKTTGTATCCAAACCTTTTATTCTTATTATTTTATATTTTAGACCTAAGTAAGAGTAAGAGTGTATTATTACCCTGAGTGGAGCTGTAGTGTTCAACTTTGCAAACGAAGCTGCAGGTGTCAATAAGTCCATTAAAACRGCGTCTCTTTGACTCCTTTTTTTTCTTCTCTAATGCCCGTTTTCTCCCAACTTCTCGTCCGACAGGTGAGTCCCACTTCTCAGCGATCCAGCATCCCTTCCTGTACTTCCAGGTGTTGTTCCTGACGGCTCAGTTCGAGGCAGCCGTGGCGTTCCTGTTCCGTGTGGAGAGGCTCCGCAGCCACGCTGTGCACGTGGCCTTGGTGCTGTACGAGCTGCAGCTGCTGCTGAAGTCGTCCGGTCAGAGCGCTCAGCTGCGTGAGTGCCGTCGGCTGTTTTTCGTTTTTAGAAGCAGATCTGTGCTCTCCGGTCAGACGACTCAAACTTTTCCACCCCGATCTCCGCAGTGAGTCAGGAGCCCGGCGACCCCCCGATGGTGCGGCGCCTCAACTTCATCCGCCTGCTCATGCTGTACACCCGCAAGTTTGAGTCCACGGACCCAAGAGAGGCTCTGCAGTACTTCTACTTCCTGCGGTAACTCGTCCTACAGTCTCAGGGCGACGCCCCTTTCATCAGACGCTTGTTTTAACTGATGATTCTGATAAATGTCGCCTCGTTCTGCAGCAGTGAGAAAGACAGCCAGGGAGAAAACATGTTCATGAGGTGCGTCAGCGAGCTGGTTATTGAGAGTCGAGAGGTGAGTGAGCATTCTGCTGCGTTTATCAGGTTTCTGTGCAGAGTTGAATCATCTAAACATGAGCCAGACGTACTAAATGATTAATATTTGAATGTAGTTTACAGCACGAATGCATGCATTTGTCTGATATTTTAGTGAACTTTGGATGTTTTTGATGTGTTTTACTGTCTTTCCTGCAGTTTGACATGCTGTTAGGAAGACTGGAGAAGGATGGAAGTAGGAAGGTAAGAGTTTTTCTTTTCTGCCAGTTTCAGTCGCTCCAACACGTCTCCACTCGGGTGCGTCACATTAGAACACGACACGTTAGCGCCTTTGTTAGCCGTGCGTCCGTCRTTTCTTGCTGTGCCGGCAGCACTCGGCCCGGCGTGATGTTTGAGGCTGTTTTTGTCCCTTTACATTTACATCAGCGAACGTTTCATCCCACCCACAGCAGGTCTCTGAACGTCTGCCTACACACTCCTCTGATTGAAGACTTCACTGTTTAAACAGTAAAATAAAAAGTGTTGCTTAACTTTGTAGYACATTCAGACTTCAGGAAGGATTGTGGTAAATTACTCATTTTTATTTTAAAAAAATCCCTTTTTCATATGATRTGACTTTGATATCTCATGAATCTTCTTGTTCCTGCTGTTCGCAGATATCCTTAAAATAAAAAAGTATATCTAAGCCTTAGGTTTGTTCTGATCTTCTTTCTAGCCGGGCGTCATAGATAAGTTTGCCGGCGACACCAGAGCGATCATCAGCAAAGTGGCTCTGGAGGCGGAGAACAAAGGCTTGTTTGAGGAGGCGGTCAGACTCTACGAGCTGGCCAAGGTGAGTGCAGCTCGCTCGTCCAGCAAAACCTTCAAAAAGCTGCTGAATTCTCCCGCTGCCTCTCTCCTTTCCCTGTGCTGCACAGAACCCCGATAAGGTGCTGGAGCTGATGAACAGGCTGCTGAGTCCGGTCATCGCTCAGGTCAGCGCGCCGCAGTCCAACAAAGAGAGGCTGAAGAACATGGCGACGGCGACGGCTGAGAGGTCAAAAACACAGGAAACRAACAAACTCAGGTCCAAACAGATGTGCTGAGACTCACYCTTTGTGTTTTCCACTGCAGGTACCGCTCTCAGGGAGTGGCAGCGGAGAAGACCGTTAACAGCACCTTYTACCTGCTTTTAGACCTGATGACATTCTTCGACGAGTACCACGCGGGTCACGTGGACCGCGCCTGCGACGTGAGTTTTAAGMTCACCTCATCATGTGAAACGATACGAGTCAGAGCTGCAAACATAAATGATGTCATGACTCTCAAATTTTAGATCCATATCTATGAAACTGATTGAGTTGTAGCAATGTTTGTGTTAGCTAAAGTCTATTAGCGGTGGCGGCCATCTTGAATAAATTTTTGTCCTGGTGTTAAGAGAATTTAATGGAAAAATGATTTACGATTAATTCTATTTTTCTTCGTTTGCAGGTGATGGAGCGTTTAAAGCTGCTTCCTCTCAGTCAGGACAGCGTGGAGGAGAGAGTCGCAGCTTTTAGGAACTTCAGTGACGAGGTGCCATCAAGTTTTTATTTATTTATTTTTTAAACACAAAAGGTTGGTTTTTAACAAATGTATGTTTCTGTGTCCAGGTGCGTCACAACTTGTCTGAGGTTCTGTTGGCCACCATGAACATCCTCTTCACGCAGTATAAACGTTTGAAGGGAGCACCGGCGGGCACGCCGGGACGGTCGCAAAGATCCACAGAGGACAGAGGCGCGGTGGGTTTTAGAGCCGAGGAAAAAGAAACGGCTCAATTACTGAGCCAAAAACCTGTGTTTAAAGCACTCAAAGTTCATTTCTTAGAGGCGTAATTTTCTGTTTTCTAAATAATACTTCAGCTTTTTGAAGCGGTGATGATAAAATGATGTAAAAATAAACTTTTGTCCTGAATTTCCCCTCAAACAGCAACTGCGCAGCCAGGCCAGAGCCCTGATCACCTTCGCCGGCATGATTCCTTACAACATGGCCGGAGACACAAACGCAAGACTGGTGCAAATGGAGCTGCTGATGAACTGACCACACACCCCAAAACACACCTCACATACACACCAAAACACACCCCTACCCCGCTGCAGATCCTTGGATTTTGACGACTGTCATTCACAAACCCTTTTGTGTTTTTTAGTTTGATTTAGGCTCCTGCCCTCAGCTCGATCTTTACAAATGTTTTGTTTTTCATCCATCTGAGTTCTTCTCATCTGTTTGTTTGTTTTTTATTTTTATTTCTGTTTCATGTTTGTATCTTTTAAATTTTTGGAATAAAAAACCAATATTTTCAGTTGTCCTTTTTACGTTGAAACGTTAAATCCCATTTGACTTTTAATTTATATTTTTTTTACTTTATTTTACTGCAGATATTGATAAACTTACATTAAGTAGTTAAATTCTGCCAAAATATTCCAGCAATCGTTTGTTTTAAAGTTTTAAACTTTAAATAAGATAAAATCTTTAGTTTCTGCGCACCATCATTAAAAAACTTATCGTTTTTGTCCCCATACTCTTAAATTTTACCCATTTCCTTTGAAAGGTGTACCTTTCACAATAAGAGTATATATGACCTGACATTACTAGTACTCATTGCAAACTACAAATTAAATAAAATATATCTTGAGCCATCTTAACTGATGCAGTTTGAAGAGTTTTCTCCGGTGGTTTTTCTAGATTTATTGAAATAATATTCTAAAATGCAGGTATGCACACAGTGTAAACAAAGTACTTTTATTTGCTTCATTTAAACCGATACATAAAAACTGTCATACTTCTTCACCCCAAATGGATCTTTCATGGTCATCCACCATTCTTAACCTTTTTTTAGTCACTTCGTCTGTTTCTGTTGAAAATCAAACACCTGGTAGTTTTTGTTTGTTTTGTTTTATTTGGAGCTGTCTTCATAACGTTTCAATGAGTGCCTTTAATGTTTCAGTCAGGACATTTCTCTTTGTGTTCAGAAGGTTTAGAGCTGAAGAATCAAGTATGTGCCGGACAAAGTCAACCGGATTTGTGAGTTTCCTGGTGAAACTGAAGGAACGTCCTCCATGCAGTCCTCCAGTGGCCGCAGGCTGCAGGTTCTGTGGCAGATGGTTGGTTTCAGCTCAGCTACGAGCCTGAGGGCTTGTTTGCTATTTGAAAGAAGCCAGCTCTGATTCTGGTTCCCAAAATTGGGATTGGGACCCTAATCTGGGTTGTAAAGACCAAATATTGAGATGATCTAATTAAGAGAATCTGTGCTAATTTGTCCATAATTATTGAGGATGTTTATAAACCAGTTATAACTCCAGTCAAACATCTACAAATAAATCAAAACTGAAGACTCAGTTTTGGCGACGTTTTCTGTTTTATGTCTTTGGCCCTGACTTTGTCCCTCAGTCTGGCCTGAGAAGACACAGATGGTGTTTTGTTGTCCTGTTTTGGCTGCAGACGTTTTTAGGTYGAGCACACAGCTGAAGCATCTTTTCTAATATTCAAAGGTTCCCAAAGTTTGGATCAGGACTCCAATGTGGGCCGTGAAACACTGAGCGGGCTTCAAATCTCAGCTTACATTAAAAAGGGTGAAATCAGTGGTTAAAACTTTTTGTACAGTCATTTTACCCATATTTAATTGGGTTATTACCTGTTTTTGTTCCTTTAAACCAGAGTTCATCATGTTGTGGGTTTGGACTGTTTGAAAATGACAGTTTTTGCAGACGGCACAGATGAGATATAAAAACTAGGGCCTGCTGAAGCTGCTGTGAGGATTTTGCAGCGGACACGCCGGCCTGTCAGGTGTGTGTGCTGCAGCTGGTGTTGTGAATCAGGCCGATGACACACACCTCCTAGAAGCCGGCTATTTCACAACACCAGGGTGGCACCGCATCACTCACCTCCAGACTGGACCTGCTGCCTGGAAGCTGCAGAGAAGATGCTGTAACCACTGTCCTCTCTACTGATGTGTGAATAAATAATGTTTCCTCAGTGGTTAGTTTTGTGTCGTTCATGCTGAAAATCAAATCAAAACTCTTTATTATTTTTTAAATATATATTTTTTAAATATTTGACTTTATTTACACATTATTTCCCTAAAATTATTTTTGAAATACCAGTTTCTTCAAAAAACATCTTAGCTACTCAGCCATTTTTAGCTTTTGGCTACTGCTACTTTTAGGTACTGTTTTGTAACTTTCAGGAATCATACTGTTAGCTACCAATTATCTGCCTTTAGCTACTATTCTTTCAATCGTAGCTAACATTTTACTCCTTTCAACTACTGTTTTGCTGTTTTTAAGTTCAAACCTTTGATTTGCTGCTTTTTTTCTAATTTTGGCATTATTTTGTTCATTTCTGGCACTGGTATCCTATTTTAGCATCAGTCTTGCTATGTTTAGCTACTATTTTGTTGCTTTTAGCTTGTGTTTTACTTATTTTACTTTGTTTTAACAACTCATTTTCCTCTGTGTATTTTAGCAAAATCATGCAGTGCTCAGTTATGTTGCATTTTTTCCAGAAAATGCTAGATAAATTAAATTAAAAAATGAAATATTTTGTCAAAGCACTAAAAAAAATGAGAATTAAACCGACCATTTATTTATAACAGCTATTTATTATTGTTTATAGCCCAAAATGGGCTTTGACTTAAAATATAAATTCCATCTGGTCAGAAAATTAAAGTCCAGAGAGAAACAATAATAAATTATTATTATTATTTTTTTTTTTACATCAGAAAACTACCAGTTTGCACAATCCACTGCAAACCGGTGTCAATATTCAGTGTTTAGAACCAGTTTTTGCCTCTGATCTGTTTTATCTGAAGCAGATGGTCTGAGGAGCAGGACCATCGGGTCTGAGGCCTTCAGGATGGGACCAGTTGGCTCAGAGACCAACATGGTGGCCGATATGGCTTCCCCTTCAGGACATTTATTTCCCTGAACTCAAGAAAAAACATGAAAAATGATCTAACAGCTTTTATACTCTGTAATATTCTTGGCAACACAACAGCAGATGAAGATGATTTAAAGTTTTCTTAGATGTTYATCACTGTAAAGACGTGTGAGCTCTGGTTTATATTTTTGTATTTTCTGAACATTAAAAAAACTCCAATTTTTTTTTTGATAAGTGTGTTCTATTTCTTTGAGTGTAAATAGTTGATTATAGCGACATCTAATGGACAATTTGTGAAACTACAACTAGGTTTAAAAATAAGTAATTCAGCAGGTGAAACTTGTCTGTTGTGATTTTTATTATTCTGTAGAGAAACAAATAAATAYGGAGTGATTAACAATAACACCGGACTTTTATATCTGGATGTTTCAACTCAAAATTTGCAACAGCTTACAAAGAAAAGTCATTCAGAATTATTTAAAATTTTTTTAATGTTTTGCAAACAAGTTAAGATAAAGTCTGGAGTCTAAAAATAAAAAAAAATCTCTCATTATTTTATTTCAGTATGTCAGAAATGGCACCAAATAAATTTGGGACTGAGTCATCACAGCTCAGGTGTTTCTGATTAGAGCTGCAGGTGTAGAAAGGCACCTGAGGGGAGGCGAGAGGCCCAGTCGACTTCACATTCAGTCTGAAATATTTCCATTTTTTTTACTGAAATGAACCGAAAAGGCTTCGAGGTGAGTGGAGACACTAATGTAAGTTATGTAAAAAAAAACAATAAAAGTTGTTAAAATGTTGGTTTTTATCTTTTAAAACCAGCTGGTCCTCGTGTTTTTCCTCGGCTTCATGTGCAACAGAGTTGATGGTGAGCTTTAGTCATTTAATTGTTGCTTTAATCTTTGGTGTTTTGAATCAACATTTAGTTTTTGTGCAGGAATCTGCAGTGTGGAGCATTGTACCGACCCCACAACATGTGTCCTGTCTGAGGACCAGAGGAGCTGCAAGTGTGCCCCCGGATTTTATTCAGACCTGTGTGACAAAAGTAAAACTTTATATCTTTATCTTCCTCTCTCTCTTTGTCTTAATGATCAGTTTGACTCAAGTTTGCATTTAAGCATGGATTTGCGTTTTAGAGCTATTAAAAGTAAACTTTATTAAATCTTTTTTTTTTCTTTTTACATTCAGTACATTATTTATGTGCAGAAAATTATTGCAACAGTTCAGGAAGTCCATCAATTTGGTGCTTGGATCTTAATTTGGTAAAAATCATATGATCTTCCTGTATTTATTAGAGTTTTTCAACATTTGTGGCTAAAATCACGATTTTTCTGCACAATTTGACAATTGAAAGATTGCTTTTTTTTTATCTGTGGTGGCCATTTTGAATGGAGTTGACATCCAGATGTTCAAATAATTTTTCTTACAAACCAAGTTGAGTTTTATGCGAAGATCTGATGACTCTTGGCTAAAACCAACTTGTCAAAGTGACTGGAATATTTTGCTAACAGGACACACGGACATCAAATCACTGCCTACCTTTCTTTTGCAGCAATTTAAAAAAATAAACTATCATTTGTATTTTCAGCACATTTAATATCAGCTGATGTTTAAACTGGTCAAACATTAAATTCTTTATTTCCAGCACAGAAATCTGTTTATTTTCTTTTTCCTGTTTGCAGCATCTCATTAGTTTTAATAGAGAATTACTTTAAAACTGTAAGAGTCACCTTTTTAAAATCTTATAAATAACCTTTTTAAAGCTCTTGTTTCACAGTAACCCTACTGTCTAGGGTTCAGACAAATCAACAGCTTTAATCTGTTAATTTCTGACAGGTGCCCAGTTTAAAGTGATGTGTGGTAAAGACTACATGGCCATCAGAGCGACTGAAGACTTTTTCACACACCTCAAAGTGCCATTRGAGTCCCTCCATCTGCCCAACAAAGCCTGCCACGCTCAGAGAGAAGTTATTGACAACGTCCCGTATTACATGTTCAAGATTTCCAAAAAGAAGTACCTGAGCTGTGGAGGCCAGCCCTTCAAGGTGAAGCTGGAGTTTTTCTTTTTTAATACAAAGGTTCATGTCAGCCYGGTTTACTTGTTTTGTCTCATTTATTGTAGAAAAACTCGACCCACTTGTTTTATTCTGTGAGYGTCCGGTCAGAACCTCAGGTTTCTGGAAACATCATCAGAGATCCGGTGGTGAAGATGGACTTCAGCTGCGTCTATCCTTACCTCAGGACAGTCAGTCTGCCTTTTCCGGTTCTTCCCATTTCCAGGTGAGTAATGRATAAATGTTTCTTTAAGTTTAAACTAAATTATTTAATACATTTCTTGGTTTCTCTCAGTGAAACGATGATGCAAATCAATGAGATGGACGCCACGATCCGGATGTTGTTGTATTCAGATGAAACKTACCTGAAGGCCTACATGGTGACTCCAACCATTGAGCTTAGAGACAAGGTGGGTCCAGACTGGCCTCCAGGTCAACATTTTTAAATATCGTTATCAAACACGAGTCCTGTGGGCCAAATGTGTTCTGCCACAGTATGGTATGTGGCCCACGAAAGCTTCAAAGATGCATTAAAGCCATAAACTACATTTCCCACAATGCATGTTSAGTATTTTATCCATAAAACGATRGCATCCAAATGAGGTGCACGGGGTTCAGTTGTACTGGGAAGTGGGAATTTTAAGTCGTTTATCTAAACTGGAATTCTGTCGGGAAGTGGCAGAATTCATAACTCAAGATGGCAGCCACAACATTTTCAACGTTTATAAGAGGATGTGTTAAAATGCTGTTTTTATGCATGAAATACCAGGTAGAGCTCAGTTTRTCAGCGGTGCTCAGCTGTAGAAATGAGATGAAGTGTTTATTTTTAAGTTAATCAAAACTGGCTTTTTGAGGGAAAACTGGTGCAGATTTTAAACTAAAATGCACACGGTGGTGGTCGGAGTGATTATTCAGTTTTAACTGTTAAAAAATCTTGTCAGTCAGAAGGAAAGGTGTAACAAGCAAATACCACGACGTAGAAGAAAATTTTAACGTTTATTTACTCATTTCAGTGTCGTGGAGAAATTAGAAATGTCAAGTTTATAAGAAAAGAAAATGCTGTAATCCTATTTAAGGGTAGAGAAACTGAATTTCATTAAGCTTTATTTCTCCAAGGTAAGCAAAAACAAAAGTTCTGATTTTTATTAATGGAACAAACCTGGAGAAAAGTCAAAGGTTGCCCTGGTGCATGCTGGGAATTTGAGTTCAACATTTTGGTTTCAAGTCCTCCATCCAGAATCAGATCCGTTTTGCTGTTTTTTTTTAATGTACCTAAATCAAAGGATGAGAGTTTAGAGTTGGATCGGTTGATCTGTGTTTTGAAAAGCAGTAATTTTGTAAAATCTTTTTTTTTTTGAAGGTGTATGTGGAGGTGTCTGTGACAGAGCCTGCAGATTACTTCTTGCTGCGGGTGGACGAGTGTTGGGCCACGCAGACCCCCCAGCCCAACTCTACAAAGGGACTGACTCACAGTCTGATTCATGACGGGTCAGAACCTCTTCTAGTCTGTTTTTTTTTTTAATTATTATTTATAAATCTCCTCACAACTCTGCTTTCTGTCACCCCTCCCTCCAGCTGTGTGGACGACTCCACCGTCTCCTTCCTGGACGTGAACGAGCTGACGTCTGGACAAAACGGGGCGAGCTCAATCGTCCGCTACAGCTTCGACATGTTCCGCTTCATCACCGAGCCTCACGAGCTTTACCTGCACTGCACCGTGCAGCTGTGTGAGCTGGACGACCTGAAGTCCTGCCTGCCTGTCAGCTCCTCCACACGCTGTCAATCAACCTGATGTGTGTTTTTATATTTGATGCATCTGAGTGATTTTTCTAAATGTCTCAACAGAACTGCAACTCGGTGAGGAAGAGGGAAGCGTTGAGGGAATATCCTCACCACAGCCTCCTGTCTTATGGACCCATCAAGGTTGAAATGCCAAACAAACCTCAGTCCAGTTAGTATTTACTGTCTACACTCCCTCAGATATCAGTCTTTCAYTCTCAGGATATTTGATGTGGAAACTGCGTCTCTGACACGTTTTCAGGCATGTTGACCACAGTGGTGCTGCCCGTGGCCAGCGTCTGGACTCTGTGCTTCTTCCTCGCCATCCTCATCACCGTGGCCAAAGCAGGCAAGAGGCGGATAACAAAGATGGACGAGTTCTGAGGAYCAAGCTGCTGCTGGTGGCAATAATAAACTTTAACAAAGTCTTTAAACCTRCCTTTCCTCTTTTTTTCTTTTGTCACTTTAGACATATTTAGAAACTCTTGCTGAGTTTGSACAGATTCTCTAAAATGACTCTAATTTAAAGTCTCTGGGACAAAAACTCCTCCCAGGRTCTCATTGTGGTTTTTCTGAAGGATCAAACTTATGGATCAGTGCTGGTTTTTGTGGGTTTGAGGGTGATCTTTGATTCCAAGCTTTGCAACACACTCGATGATTGGGGAAAAGTTAAAGCACTCTTAATATCCTCGTAGTGGTTTTGGATATCTCTAACCATCTGAATGTCTTATCCAGGCTAAGCCCTCCTACTTTATTATGGCAACCTTCCTAAATATCATTGCTTTCAATTTGAAAATGGCTTATTTTCAATAACTAATTTTATTTCTCTCTGCTTGGTTTGACTAAACAGAATTATACATGCCACCCACAATAATTAAATTTTTTGAATGTGGTTTAGTCATGCTGTTTGTTCGCCAATAGAGGATGTAGAATTAAATGGCTGTAGCAAAAGTAAATTGTAAGAGCAAGCATTTGATCTGACAAAACTATTACAAGCAATACCCAAATTAAAAATTAACATAGCTATAGATGCTTTTAATCAACTGACATTATTTAACTCTTATTGAAGTAAGATTTTTAAGGCTGTTTGTTGGAGCTGTAATTCCCGCCAGGGCCAGCAGAGGGCGCGCTCTTCCTCCTCTCTCCGATGTGGCGCTTTTTTTTTATTCAAAGAGGGGAGGGAGAGACTTCTTCGTGGGAAATCGGTGAAAAATCAGTGTTTGCGATTTAATACAAGTTTCTTCGCGTCGCGTTTTCTTTAAAGTTTACAGTTTAGCTGTGTGTAAAGAAGGAAAAAACGCCCCAGGTGAACTTTGATATCCACTTTAGAATTATTTTAAATTTTTTTTAGTAAAACTCTGACCTTCAGCTCGGATGTTTTGTGTTTGCAGCTGGATGGATTTTTCTAACAGAACAGAGAAACTGACAAAGAAATACCCTCCGGATCAGATGAGTTCAGGAACGGATTAATATTCGGTTTTTTTTTTTTTAATTCTTTGCTTTAGTGCGTCAGAAAATGAACACTTGTTGCGGAAATTTGTAAATCAGTTTTCTCCTCTCGCCTGGTCGRGGGAGGTTTGTTTTTGTTTATCTTCATCACATCTTTCCAGGAAGACTTCGGTTACTGAGAGGAGGAAGATGGGATCCCAGCTGCTCCTCATCCTCTTATCGTTGTGTTCAGTTTCTCTGATAATCTGCAGGACTGTGGAGAACTTCCCYGAAGAGGAAAACCTCAATGCAGAGGTAAAAAGTTTGTTTTACTGAGGRTTAAGATTGTTTAGATGTTTTATTGTTGTAAAATATATACATAAAATGTAAAMATGTTTTTTTGCGARTCTCATAAACCCATATTTTACACAATGGGACATAGTAAATAAAACTCATCTGCATTTTCTTGACGTTTAAGCTTCACTAATGCACCCCCATACCATCAGAGAGTCTTTTGAACTGTGTGCTGTTAAGCTGGATGATTCCTCCTTTTTAAGTTTGGTGATAATAAAATTAAAATGTTATCTTTTCTGAATACAAAACATTTTCTTTTACTTTGTCTCAGTTCATTTTATTTGAAATATGGCTTCGTCTTTGAGCGATAGAGCTTTGATCTGAATTTGTGAAAGTGTACTTGAGCTTATGCAGTGATCCCCAGACCAAGATCAGACCTGTTTTTAATGCTGATCCCGGGCATCTAGTTGGGATTTTCTGCCATTTTATTTTCATCAAATTGAATTACCTTTTTTCTTAAAAAAATGTAACAAAGTCTCAGTTTAAACATTTTGTTTGTTTACTTTATTCCATTAATTACAAATGGGTCTGTGAGATTTGCATTTTGTTCTTTAATTACATTTTACTCAAAATCCCAACTTTGTCAACATGATGTTGTATTTTTAAACCCCAAAATGTTTTCTTTTATAGCATTATAATGAATACACAACTCATATGCAGCTTTTTTTTGTACAGAAAACCCAAACACTACCTGTTTGTTGGTTGTAACRGTTCAAATAATGTCTTTAATCAGGATGTTAGACTCTGAAGACTCCTGTCTGGACTGAAGCGGACCACCTAAAAGTTTTAGTTTTAGATTAATGGTTATTTTGGTGTCAGGAAGGTCTATTGCTACATGTTTTGTTGCAGAGTAGCTGATGTTTTATYACCTGAATCTCATCCAGAACCTTTGAGTTGTGTAATAATAATAAAAACTTCAAACCTGTAGAGTACAACATAAACAGAGGRAAACAAAAACAGCACAGTTACTGGAAGTCATTTGAATTGCATGACAGGTTTTTTTCATATAGTTTCAGGTTCTTAAGGTGGTTAACATTTAAAACGTTTTCTCTTTTGATGTGTGCGTGCCTGTGTTTCRTGACGTAGATACATAAAACTCCACGATCCAGCTGCGTGAACAGCTTGTAGCATTTTTTTAAAGTTCTGCTGCTCAGGCAGATCTCAACACTCGAATGATTCTTTTTTCCTGCCATTTTGTCYGACTGTGTGACTCGACATCCTCATTATTTCTCATATAAACAACAGGAATGTTTAATCAGAACTCGACACGCAGACCTTACCTCTACAGATTCATATAAAGCTTATTATGGTCTAAAACTTGTTTCCTTTTCTTGTCTGTCAGTTCAGGAATGTTTTCTTGTTAATTTGAGCCATCTGGTTTATATCTCCTCTTTTTTTTCTGTCAATGCTTTACAAACTCTTCAGCTATTAGACATCGGTTTGTTTAGAACCACGAGCTGAACCCAGCTGCCTCACTGATTCAGGTTTGACTCTTTCCTCCAACAGGCGTGGCTTCGTCAGTTTGGTTACCTRTCCCAGGCGAGCAGACAGATGTCCACCATGCACTCAGCTCAGGTGTTGTCCAAAGCCATCAGCGACATGCAGCGCTTCTACGGCCTGGAGGTGACCGGCGTGATGGACGCTGCCACCKTGGCGTAAGTTGCATCACCACTAGGGATGCAAGTTATCGATTAATGAATTAATCTAAAGTTAATTTATCTTATCGATCGACTAATGATTAATTGATAAGCAGACATTTTCTTAAAAACCTGACATCTGTCTTGAATCAAGGGTCTTTCTATAGCATGAAAGGCTAATTTTTTACATGCTAAATAAAAAAGTACATTATTATTTTAACAACTCTTTGTGCCAGCTGTATTAAACACTGACTGAATAAACAGAAAAATGTGGGTTTCTCTCACATTATTAAACTTGGGCATATGTATAAAATAGAACAAAACGGGAATTTATTAGGTTGCTAGTTGGAAAAAATAAATAAATTAGGTAAAACACTTAATCCACCCTGAAGATGAAAAACAAAAAGWTAAACACAGGGTAATATTTTAAGATGAAGATTAACTCAAAAACAAACTATAAACATTATAAAATATCCCTGAAAGACATGATATACAAATGAGTACTGACAATTGTTTGTTTACATTCCCTGTGGTTCAATCTTAGCTGGGCTGCGCTGCATGATTTAATGGGCTATTGTTCATTTGATTTGTTCACTGGCCGGGTTACGTCACAAAGATGAGATTAACTACACGTTAATTATTTGTAGCGATTGTAACTTTTTATTTTTTATATTTTTGTCTATCACACGAGTTAAACTTTACAAGAAGAAGCTAACATTAGCTACAGTTAGCTTACTGTTCTCTATCATCCTACTCTCTTGTCTTTAGCGTCATATTGCTGGATAGTTCTGTGCAGCCTTYGGTACTTTTCCTTCCAATTTGATGTAGTCCATTATCATTGTTGTGTCACAATTAATAAAACTAAATAAGACTTACGCCCACATCGAGATGGATTTCTGCTGAGCAGCAGCGCCCTCTGCTGGATGATGTCAAAACTACACTGAAATAAGGTTTAAACGGATGTTTTCAATTAATCGAATGAAAGGAATTTTAATGTAATAAACCATTGTTCGACAATTAATCTTAAGTCGATCAATTGTTTGCATCCCTAATCACCACAAAACGTTTGGTGTGTTTGCAGAGTGGTTTTAAGATGAGATAGTTAGGGAGAGTTTAAATCTTCTGTTTTCAACAGAGTTGAAGGATGAGTTTTGATAAATTAACTGAATTTCAGATAATCTTTTATATTTTAWTTACAAGCATTCAGTCAAAAAATATCTCAACAGGCCACCAAGAAACAGTTATGTTTGGTTAAATCTCTTTTTGGTTTTATCACGTCGGGGTCACCAAACAACCAAAGCCTGAATTGTGTGCAGGAAACCGATTAAATTCCCAGACTTTAATATTTATTTTCAGACGTGTAAAGACATGAAATTCAGTGAATCTTTTACATATATCCTTCATTTTGAATGTTTAATCACAGAGCCATGCGTCGGCCTCGCTGCGGCCTCCCCGACAGAAAACCCGAGGAGGCGGCCGAAGCAGCGAGGAGGAAGCGTTACGCTCTGACGGGGCAGCGGTGGGACAAAAACCACATCACTTACAGGTCTGAAAACAGGAACCAGCCGTACCGCAGACTGTTTCCAGCGCTGCCACTGATCGACGTTACTTTTTCATTTCAGCGTAAAGAACATTCACGACCGGCTGGGGTCCGAGCGGGGCTCCGAAGCGATCCGCAGGGCCTTCGACGTGTGGGGTCGGGTCACCTCGCTCACCTTCAAGCAGCTGCCCGTCAGACACGACGTCAACGGCAGCCGCAACGAGATCGGCGACATCTTCATGCTGTTCGACTCTGGTTTTCATGGTGATATGTCGCCGTTTGATGGCGAGGGTGGGTCGCTGGCCCATGCCTACTATCCTGGACCGGGCCTAGGTGGAGACGTGCACTTTGACGCTGACGAGTCGTGGACGTTGGACAACGAGGACCCTAAAGGTCAGCAGGCTGACCTTCTTTTCTCAAACAGCTGGTTTTCAATGATGATGAAGTTTGAGACACTGAAGTAACGGTGATGTTGTGAGTCTGAACTCTTTGATTCGTCTCTCAGGTATCGACTTCTTCCTGGTGGCGGTCCACGAGCTCGGCCACGCTCTCGGTCTGGAACACTCTGATAACCCTGATGCTACAATGGCTCCTTTATATCGATGGATTAACACAGACAACTTCACGCTGCATGAGGATGACATCAAAGGAATACAGCACATGTATGGTAAGAAACATACAGAAACATAACATGCTACTTTTTATTTAATGGTCAAACGGGTATTTAAAGTCACCGAAATTAAAACTGAAGCCATCAAGTATCTGAAGTTTAGTGTTTTAAAAGGTTCTGACTTCTCCAGTCTAGCTACAGTTCTGCTGTATAAGCTTGTCACTAGACTTCTGTAACATTTAGCTTTTATCCAATCTTTGTGTCATTTTGCTTCCAGCTAACCTTCTGATACTTTTAGCATTTACATTTTACATTTGTTTTCTAGGCAGCCCTTTGCTAGCTTTAGCTTTTATCAAGCCTTTTTTTTTTTAGCATTTAGATAGTGTTTTGCTACATTTGGATAAGCTTTTGTTCAATTCAATTCAGTTTATTTATATAGTGCCAAGTCACAACAACTGTTGTCTCAGGGCACTGTACACACAAAAACAACAACAATAAATCTAAAGAAGCCAGCAGACTGCGCCAAATCTTTGCTTCGTCACAGTCTCCCATCCTGAGCCTTTTGTTGCTKTTTGCTTTTAGCTAACCTTTTGCTGGTTTTAGTTAGTATTGTTCTACTTKTAGCTTTTGTTGCAGTTTTACAACCTTTAGCAATCTTTTGTTTCTTGTAAGTTTTTACTTTTGGTATTTTTAGCATTTAACTAGTGTTTTACAACTTTTTTGCTTTTAGTTGACCTTTTGGTATTTTTAGCATTTAGTTAGCATTTTGCTATGCTGAGCGAAACTTTTGTTATTTTTAACCACCTTTTTGCTACTTCTAGCTATAGTTTTGTTATTTTTAGCTTTTAGTTAGACTTTTGCTTTTATTTATATAACCTTTTGAAACTTTTTTTGACCTTTTTAGCTTGCATTTTACTACTTTTAGCTTTTAGCTAGTGTTATTGCAGTTATTCAGCACTCTCACGGAATTTTCACAGAAAATGAAGTTTCTCTGGTTTTAGATGTTTGTCTTTATTTTCATATCATAAATTAATAATATATTATCAGGCACTAATTCTCACACAAACTTTATATTAATAAAACAATCTTACAGCTGTTGTACTTCAGGGACACACTAAAAGTCCAGAGAGTTTAAACCTCTCTGTTTATGCATTTCTTAAACTCTCTGCAGCTCGAGCTTTAACAGCCTCTGTAAGGGTTAGAGAGAAGAACTCCAGCTGTGATTGAAATATTTATCACATCTGGATCTTTGTCAAAAAGAGACATGAAGGCTTGAGAAGAAACATTGAGCTCATTAACATGTGCAGCAGAGAAAAGAGTGGACCTCATTCAGAGCAGCTGCTGTCATGTCCTCATAACATCCCGAGTCAAGGGAGGGTGGTACTGTTACTGAACACATATGTTTTACTGAACATATGTGTTACTGAACACATATGTTTTACTGAACATATGTGTGACTGAACATAAGTTTGAATGATCATACGTTACTGAACATATCAGTAACACAAATATGTGACTGAACATATTTGTGACCCGTCACATCAAGTCAAAGATAACTCATATTAGGGCAAGATAAGCTAACATATTTTCATCAGATTCTTGTTTTTTTTATGATTGAACGTATGGCTCAGATAATCTTGCTGAGTGGGAAAACCCCAGGAAATCAGTCTAATTAAATATCCCAAAGGGCTCACCTTTTTTATATATTTTTATCAGCTTTTTATTTCCATAGCTTTTCTCAGTAAAAGTATGTCTCTCTGGTGAAGCAAATGTTTAACAAACATCTTGTAGGTTTTCTGCCGTCAACACCGTGAGGTAAACGTTTTGCTTGGAATTATACGGTAGTTTCCCCCTTTTTATTAAACAGATCATTGTGTGGGAGAAAATCCCCGAGTGGACGAGAGAAACCATACGATGACTCAGACTGGCGAGGCTCAAACTATAAACATTTTTTTCTTTTGTTAGAGGTGAATGCTTTGTGTTCTTTGTAAGATGCATTTACATTTATTTAAAGTATATAAAATAATGGTTAAAATGGTACAACCATTGTGTTTTTTTTTTATTTATTTTTTTGCAAATAGGCCTTAAAATCGAGCTATTTTACATTGTTAGACTTGTTTTTGTATTTTCATAAAACTTAGTTTCACGATAAAAGAGAAAACTACAGGCCCGGTTTTAATCACAGAACTCTGATTTTTGCAGCTTTTAAAAGAAGGCATGTCCACAGCCCTCATTTAAATTCACAACACTAAACTAAGTGGCGACCAGGGKAGCAGCTAACTGCTGAATAATGTGAAGCCTTTAAAGACAGATGGTGCCTGTTCATGAGACTAAAACGAGCCACTATCAGGGCCTGCATCTGTATGGAGTCATTAAAGGACAGAGAGGAAAAAATACACTGCTCATGTCAAATATTTGTCCCAGATCTTTTATAATTAGATCAAAACCTTGTTGTCTTTTGTGCAGAGACCTTGACCTACTTCTCCTTTTGTGTTGTGGTGAAAACCTTCACTTGTTTGTCTCCTGGGAAACTTTCTGGTGCTCCTAAAAAGAGTTCAGTTTATCTGTAGTGTAACCATAAATGAGCGTTTAGATCCTGCAGAGGCTGAAAGTTTCCACAATGTGATGATCAGTGTCACYGTTTGTTTTAATCTCAGTGAAACAAAGAAATCCATTCAGTCCCATCAGCCGGYCACATGGGTTACATAACTGCCCGAGCCGCTCTGTTTTCTTCTCTTAGCAACAAGCAGGGAAAATTTCTTCTTCTTTCAGCTGCTCCCTCCTCATCCTCCTCCACCTCACTCTGTCCTCTGCGTCCTCTGTACYCACTCCAACTGCATCCGTGTCCTCTCCACAGAGGACAGACGATTGCAAAACGTCACATTTGTAGAAAAGCTGCATAAATGTCTGTAAGACTTCCTTAAAGTTAGAAATACTGAAAGTTATGGCTCASTGTTCCTTATCGAGCTGAACGTTTTGATGGATTATTGGTTAAAACAGCAGAAACAGGTTGGAGAAAACTGAACACACAAAAAAAAGATGAAAATGCTGACTCAGCATTAAAACACTCAGCCTATTATTGCCTTTTTATTTCTAGCTAACCTTTTGAAACTTAGCTAATTTTAGCAGTTTTACCTTTTTAGTTAACCTTTTGCTTCTTTTAGCTTTTAACAAGTCTTTTGGTATTTTAGCATTTAGCTAGTGTTTTACCACTTTTAGCTAGGCTTTTAGCCAACCTTTTTGCTATTTCTAGCTAGCGTTTTGGTACTTTCAGCTTTTATATACGGTTTTGTTTCTTTTAGCTTTTTGCAAGCCTATTGGCAGTTATCATTTAGCTAGTCTTTTGCCATTTTTACCTAAGCTTTTTTTGCTTTTAGCCAATGTTTTTCTAGTTGTAGCATTTTGCTACACTTAGCTTTTAGTTATCCTTTTGCTTCTTTTTACTTCTAACTAACCTTTTGAAACTGTTGACTTTTAGCTACTTTTACTTTTAATTACCATTTTGCCTCTTTATGCTTCTAGCTAAACTTTGAAACTGTTAGCTAATTGTTTGCTACTTTTCTAGATAATGTTATGCTTCTTTAGCTTTTAGTTAGCCTTTTTCTTCTTATAGCTTTTAGCCAGCTTTTTGGTATTGATTTGATTTGATTTATTGATTCAACAGGAAAAGATTACTAAAATCAAGCCTGACTCAGCATAATTGCTGTTTTACAGCAGGTTCCTGTTCTGCAGCACATAAAACACTCAGAATTACAGCATCACAATCACATCATTATACACCATAGACACAAAGAAAAACAAGCATAACAAATTTCAGGAAGGCAGCATTT